GGACTGTTGTGCCCTATTAGTCTCATTTTGTTTTATGGGGCTGTCTAATATTTGGTTGAATGGTGAACCTTGCGAGTGACTTCATTACTGAGGTAAAAAGGTGTCCGGGGGCCATATTCTTGCGGTTTCTCCAGTCTCTGTCAGGCCAGTAAGTCTGGTCTTTTTTTGTGAGTTAGAATTTTGTTCTACATTTTTCTCCATCTCTGTCTGGGACCCTCTGTTGTGATCCCTGTCAGAACAGTCAGTGGTTGTTGCCGGGCAGCATCTAGTTGTACTGGACTCAGTCTGGTGGAGGGCATGGTAGTTGTGATCCATTAGTCCTTTGGACTAACCAGATAAGGAAATGTAGCTTATAATTTTTAAAATGTGCTAGACTGAAAAAAATATTTTCTTATAGAAACAACTAATGAGACTAGTTTAATCATTTCCTTATTTAAAAGCCCTAGGTAGGTCCTTTTTTTTTTTTATTTAGTAAGCCAGTTGTCATGGGGTTGATTCTGACTCATGGCAACCCCATGTGTTTCAGAGGAGAATTGTGCTCCATAGGTTTTCAGTGGCTGATTGAAATACATCACCAGATCTTTCTTCTGAGGTGCCTCTGGGTGGACTTGAATCTCTAATCTTTCAGTTAGCAGCCAAGTGCATTTACCATTTACACTACCCAGGGAGTCCCTCTTATTTATCAATGTTAAGAAAAATAAAAGTATACATTTTATTTCACTTGGGTTTGTTTTTCCTAGACTTACATAGGGTTATTGACCAAATAAGTGAACACTCCTCCTACATAACGTTTAAGATTATAAAACATGTAAAATTGTGTTCAACTAAATTGAATCATTATTCCGACAATTTTTTATATCAACAGTAATTGTGTTCTGTAGTATGTTGGCTTGAAAATAATTTTCAAGATCTTTCAGTAATTTAAAATCTTGCACTGATATTAAATCGAGCTAATTAATGAATAATCATCAGACACTTAAATGATTTCTAAATAAGATAGAATACTGGCACAATAATTACTAAGTATAATTTTAATATGTTTTGTTTTTAAGTTAATATATTTTGCTTCTTATTTTATATGCTATAGAGAGGCTATATCTTTGGATCGTGTTAACGAATGTGCTTGTTTATCCTTGCTATGTTAAGGTGCAAAAGGGATGTGTGTGGCTGTGGAAAATTGTATTCTGCGTGTTTATGAGCTTTGATAGTCTGCTAAAATGCTTATATATGATTTTTCAATTACTGATTTCTCTGTGAAATAGAAATTAGTTATTTTCTTAAATGTTACAATTAATATGGGTGGTTACAATTCTACTGGGAACAATAATGGCAGAGAAATAAAAATATGTGTTGTTTTCTTCAAGAAAATTTTTTTTTCTTAAAGTTCAGTTCTCAAAATTTTTGGTCTCAGAATCCCTTTACATTCTCTTATATAAAAATTTATTAAGGCTCCCTAAGAGTTTTTATTTATACTGACTGTACCTATCTATATTGACTGTATTAGAAATCAAAACTGAAAAATTTAAAAATGTCTATTTGTTGGTTCATTTGAAAGTAGCAATGATGAAGCCATTTCATGTTAACATAAATAACAATTTTTAATACACTGTTTTATAGTTTTGAAAATCTCTTTGATGTCTGGCTTAATAAAAGTCACCTGGATTCTCAGATCTGCTTCCGCATTTAATCTGTTGAGCTATCACACAACATATAGCTGCTGGAAAAACTCCACTGTATGCTCATGAAAGAAAGAGAATAAAAATGGCAAATAAAGTCTTAATATTACAGTTTTGACCATGTGGCCCGCTTAGAGGGTCTCAGGGCCCCCTTGGGTACTCAGACTATTCTTTGTTCTAAATTAAAGTGCCAGACTGCTGAGCCAAGATCAAGCAGAACAAGAATTACATAGGACTGAATGAACTGATAAGGGAAATTTTATTGTGATTATTTGTTTGGAATATTATTGATTAGTTTTAGTGTTTTATTGCTGCATGGCTCTAGATTTGCAAAATAAACTCAAGGGGGCTTATACGGTTAATTAGCACTCTTGCTGCTCCTAAATAATCAGGCCAAGCCTAACGAGACCAGCCTTTTTTGTGATCAATACTAATCTCTGTGGTTATTTTGATCATGTGTGTATTGGGGGGTGGGGGGTGGGAGAGACACTGTCAGGAAAAATTAAGATACTTCTAAATGAGCAAAAAAGATTACTGGGTGTCCAGTTCAGTGCATCCGTCTGGGTTATCTGCACCTTTCATTTTCTTTGAGCAATTTTACAATTCTGTAGGTTGTGGAAAACTTACAGTAGTGAATATAATTCTTTAGTTTTGGGGGCAGAGAACAGATACTTCTTTTTTTAAATAGATACCGTGTAACTGTAACTTTCAGTGTTCTATAAAATTGAGAACTTTTTGAAAAGATTATGTGAGGCAGTGAGGTAGAGGTGGGGAGAGGTTTTGAGGGAAGCAACTGTGGAAGAGACATTTCTCCTTAGGCTGGATAGGCGATAGAGGTCTGTGGGTCCAACAGCAGCAAAGACCCTTCCCCCTACTCTGCTTAGCAAGCAATATGTTGGGGAGGAGGCCAGACTTCAGAGGGGATGGCTGTGAATTATTCCCAAGGAGGCTGCTTCTAGACCCTGAGGCTTCCAGTCTCCCCACAATGCCCAGAATTACTAGCATGGCCCAAGGGAGCGAAGACCTGAGATCTAAAGGCACTACAAGGATACTTAAGAAATATCTAGTGTGGAGCCATGACCAGATGGGTCTCCTTGATGCTTTGGTACAGCTTAAGGCCCTCCTGGTTCCTTGGCATAATTATTGGAGGGATGAGGCCCCTTAGCGGCTTTAATCATATTTCCCACCAGTCCTGCGGCAAAGGTGCTCAGAATAGGATTTAAGTTGAATCAAATAAATTTGTTGCATACCTGAGTTTCTGCACTTAAGTCTTACACCTGCTACATAATGCCTTTAGATCTTTCCCTGACCTTCCTGTCTTTTTAGTGACTGGTTTTCAGGCTCAGCCACCGAGCTAAAGAAATGTTCCATCTTTTATGCTTTTCTTCCTGCTACTGAGGTACACTAAAAACTCTTTCTGGGACTAGAACTTATGAGTTGACAGAGTTTGCTACATTAATGCTTTATCTCTTTCTTCCTAGTCTCTCTTCCATCTCATTCTCACTGAAGGAGGTAGGAAGGATAATCATTAGCTCCTACTTTTGGATACCCCATTGCTAAAATCTTCTAGCAAATTAAAAGTTTAACGTAAGAACCTTATCATACAGAGAGTAAAGTAAATAAAACCAATATTCTTTATTATTGGCTCTATTTACTTGTGAGCAAATCTCTAGGACAACTGACATCTTTATTAGCACTAATAATGAAGGCTAAGGTTGAAAAGTGTTGTTGTTAGCACAGCTGAGACACAATTCCCAAGTCTGTGTTTGCTACAAGCTTGTTGCCTCTCCAGAAGTATTGGAAAATATAATCTTTAGGCCCGCCAAACAGGCATTGTCCCACAATTAAGATCATTAGGAACTAAGATAAATTATACATGAAACACTCTCTGGAAATAACACATTCAACATTTAAATATCCCTAACTTCAGTTTTTGCTCTTGTGATATAAGAGTACCACAGGCAGTTTGATGGTTATGAAAACAGACACGCTGCAAATTATTTCTTATTGTTCTACTACACTGCAGACCGCAGCCCCCTGCCTTTGTGATCTCTGGAGAGGTCTGCAGCAATCTGCTCCACTTGAGGCTAAAGACTTCTCGGAGGCTTTGAAGGAAGCCTAATTTAGCAATCTGTCTGCTGAAAGACAACACCCACTTATATACTTAGACACCTTCACTCTGGATATAATTTGAGACAGTAGTCTTGGACTGAGATTCCTTCTTTTTCGTCTATGGTTTCTGGCAGCTGCAGTGCTATTTTCAAACATTCTAAAACTAAAGGTTGTGAATGGAACACAGGCATTCTCTGTTCATGCTACTGAATTCTGATATTTGCTCTCAGAGCCAAATAGAGTTCACTGTCCAAAGAGTCAGGTTATAAATTTAGGCAGTTTTACAGCTAGACAGGGCAAGGCACAAAATAATCATATATGTAAGATCTGGCTTAAAATAAATTAAGCCCTTAGAAAATACAAATTTTAGTAAAAACTGTTATTATGACAGTATTGTTAGAATTTTTCAGCTTTGTCATTAATATGAGATAAAAGAAACCATGTACAGTGATTATAGGTTGGCAAAACGTTTTATGATCTGAAATATTTTTGAGCCCAAACATATGTTTATTGCAGTAAAGAATATTTTGCTTTCATTGCTTACTATTCAATGAATTCAATAATTATCATCAACCAGCATATTTCATTAAGGTACATAAACTTAATGATTCTGAGATTTCAAACTGGGATTTTTACAGACTAAGTACATATCATGTATAAATATTAGTCCTATAAAATCCTATATATATGTAAATGTATGTATTTTATTTTCATTACTCTTTTTTCCTCTTTTTTTTGTCAAGAGGGGCAAAGGAATTGCCTAATTATCTGTTCCTTTCCTTTGGGGAAAGGGAGCTCAGGGTTCTTGGTAGGGTTTGGAATATGTGGTGGGGAAGTTGGTCTCTCTAGGAGGTTATGTTTAAGTTTAAGAAAAAGGAAGGATCCTGGAGCCTCCCCTTGGAGGTAAATATCATTGTATAAAGGAAATCTAACGCAGTAAAGGTGAGTCAGAAACAAAGCAGAAGTCTCCAGGGGAACATGAAAATCATTGTTCAAGTTGTGGGGTTCTCTGTGCTGCTCCTGAAGTAAGCCCCATGACCTACCCACACTGCATCCCTTTTACAAGTACCCAATAATTTTTGAAGCCCCATGGATTTTCAGCTTTGTGGAGTCCTGGTTATGGATACCAGATGTCTGCCAGACCATAGCTAATGGACTGTATGCAAAGACATTACAGTAGACTAAATTTTCATGGGCCCCATTTTTTCATACCTTTTCCCCCATGGATACACCCCCTGATGTGATGATGACATCAGCACGACTGATACCCTCATTCAAGGCATTGAGTAAGTCATCTGGGCTGGAAAAAAAATAAAGACAAACAAATTAACACAAGAAAAGAGTTTAGATATAGTGCCAACTTAAAACTAAACTACCTAATTCACTGAGTAGGCATTAACATGAGTACAGACAGCACTATCTTCTGTATAAAGTAGGAATCAAAAAGGTCCCTGCCCAGCAGAAGCATAACTCTTATTGTGGAGAAAGAACCTCGTAAGTGCTGAAATAGTGGCTACTGGTTCTTTTCTGGGGCTTTTAATCTAACGAGGCAGTATAACGAGGGGAAACAGTGAGGTGTTGGTAGGGTATCCAACCACCACGGTTTGTGTGGCAGTGTCTGGGTTTTAGTATTAAAAGTCACATGTCCTAGGAAATCCTGGGCAAATTGAGGCAGTGGGTCACTCTACATACTGGAGAGATCACAGAGGGCTCTTTAGAGGGGTAGGACTTAAGTTATGTCCTGAGAGAAGTGGCTAGATTTTGACAGATGGAAAGGGATGGGAAAGGACCTTGCAAGCAAGAGAATCTGCACTAGCAAAGGCTTGGAACAGTGATTAAGCCTATGGTGTTTCTAGGTCAGTGTGGATAATGGTCTGCCTAGACTGAAAGAGTTGACTGAGAATGAATGGGGTAGGTAGGATGGACATGATTTTGGAGGGCCTTCAAGCTTAAGAATTTAGACTTGACCTAATAGAAAATGTGGGGAGGGGTTTCCCTGTAACTATGAAGAGCCAGTAGGTGCTTACTGGGAAAAGAAAGGATAGAAAAAGAAACGACAAGAAGGGCAGAAACTCTACAAAAATACTCGGAAAAGACAGGGACGGAATGAATGTTAGGGATTGAAACTAGACAGATTCCTGACAGTCAACTGAAACGGCAAGTGCACCATGCCCTTTGATTGCACAGGTCAAAGCCCTACGAAGAAGAGATGAAGTGAAAGCAAGGGTCTTATATTCTGGATGGGCCAGAAGGATAAAAAGGGCTCCAAAGATCTAACTTGGGAGTGACTAAGTGAGAAAAAACAAAATATCAGGGATCAGGGCTTATGGAGGGACAGGATGGCAGGGAATAGCTGAAAGGGACTGTTTTGTTAGTAGTTTACATTCATGCAAAGCTACTGGGCACTTGCACTTCCCTTCAATTGATGAAGTCCAGAAAATGTGCCTTTGAGAAATATCTGTCTTGCCCACATCCTCGTTTTCTGAGAACTTCTACTCTATAGGGCCAAGCCAAGCCAGTTGCCATCGAGTCGATTCCAACCCATAGCGACCCTACAGGACAGAGCAGAACTGCCCCATAGGGTTTCCAAGGAACAGGTGGTGGATTCAAACTGCTGACCTTTTGGTTAGCAGCTGCAGCGCTTAACCACTATGCTACTGCCTGACTTCTCCTTTTCCTTTATCCTGCAAAGGCATCTAACATGGACATCTAAAAAGGGAATAATCCTGGCTTCTGATTTTCTAGCTCCTGTTTTTAATCCCATTTGAGGCCCAGCTGTACTCTTGTTCTTGTGTTCAATGAGATAAGCCCGCATTAGCCCAAAACCCCCTTCTCTGCTTAAGCTAGCTGCAGTAGGTTTTTATTAACTTGAAATCAAATGATCCCTCAATGAGCAGAATATGTTCTCCCAAATCTCTCATTACAGTGAGGTTTATTGATGTCCCTTTACCTTAATGCACTATGTGATGAGAGAGGAAAAACAAGGAATGTTAGAGACTCCAGATGGCATGATTTGTAAGTAGGACATCATTTTACCTTTCATTCAGGGGTGACAGAGGTAAAAAGAGGAATTTGAGATCGACCGTAGATGCTACCTTCACAGGCTCTACAGAGATAAACTAGTTGGGAGGCAGAGATTAACACTGTGAGCTCTGTAGTTAGATTGCCTGAATTAAAATCCTAGCTCCACTACTTCTAGATATGTAACTTTGGGCAAGTTGCTTAACTTCTCTTTGCCTCAGTTTTCCATCTATAAAGCAAGGATAATAAGGTTGACTTGATACATAAAAAAACACTTCGAACAATACTTGGTACGAACTGAGTTTTTCAAGAAAGGTTAGTTGTTATTATTACTGCTGTTGTATTGCCAGAAGTTTATCATACAAACAAACCTAACAACCTGGCATAAGTTCAACTTTGGCATGCTTTGAGTTTTTATTCAGGAGAGTACCTATCACTAACACAAAAGAAAATCAAAGACTGGGTCTCAAATACATTCACAGAGCAACATGTGAAAAGCCCAGATGGTTCAATAGTAAGCCAAACCTGGCTCTAGCCTAAATAGTTTCATTTGTTATTAGGTTCTCTTACTGGACCTGGGTAGAATTCCCCTCCTCCTTAAGTACTGGACTCTCCATGGCTGCACAGGGGTTGCTCTGGTTTTGGAGCGTGAGCTCCCAAGGAGGAGGTACAAAAGTAAAAGTGTGAAAAATGGCTCACATGAGGTTCAGCCTACCAACACGGGGACCCTTTAAAGTCATTCAGTTAATTGCTTATGCAGCCAAAAAAAGTTACCTGCGTATTCAATGAAGGTAGGATCTATGTATAAGATAAAACAAACAAAAAAGTTAAAATCACTGATATAGATTTTTTAAGTTAAACTGGTTGGGCAAACATGTTAGAAGAATTACATTAAAAAATACTTAAGGTATTTTAGAACTAAGCATTTTGAACAGATTTCTCATCAACTTTTTTCATTTTGCTTTATGGAAAAAGATTGAAAATAATTCTGTTGTGTTGAAATACTACAAGATCTGGATGTGACAGGCTCTTGATAACTGCATGCCCAGAGCTCTGGGTCCCTTGCCTTGCTGGATCACACTGTTACTAAACTAGGCCAGATGGATGACTTATGGAGTAAATGGGAAAATATCACAAACACAGAACCATGCTGAATGTGGTTCAGGTAAATGGATAATGAATATTATCAGCAAAACACAATTTTCTGTTAGTACAAAGCTAATGTTACCAACTTTACCATATACAATTTATAACATACATTGACTGAACAATATTGACTCTATTGGCATTAGGATTATCCTAAAGCCACTGGAAGCAAAGCAGCACATCATTATGGTATTAATCTTTGTAGGTGGAGAAGGTCCTGGGACAGATTACCTGATGATTACAAATAAACATACTCTTCAGCGATTTTTTTAAAATTAATTGTTTTGATACTATCAGGGAAAGATTTTCTTCCTATTTTGCAAAACTGCCGAGTTACCAACTCCTCACACATTTTTTAATTTGCAGAAATAAACTAAAAGGGGTTTGGTCCCAAATCCTTACTGTAGTTTATCATGTTTCAAAGAACATTCTCAATGTTGCTTTCCACTCTGTAGCAGATGGATTCACAAAATCATCAAATCTCAAAGTTGGAAAGGCCTTCGGAGGTCATCATGTCCAATATCACAGCTGGGCCCATTACTTGCATCCTGCCCTATTCCTCTCCCTGTGCCCTTTCCTCTGACTCTATGTCACACACTTCTGATGTCTGGGATCTGACAATCGATCATGGTTTACAAGAGGGACAGGTACCAATGTGTGATGATAAGTCAGAGGATCTATAACTTCATTTATCCTGCATGCTGTATCTCCGTTTATTACCTCACAATAAATCTGTGAGGTAAAAGTGAATAGCTGTTATTATGCCACTTTTACAGAAAAGTGATGAGACTCAAAGCAGCATACTGAAGGGTAGACAGAGCAGTCAGTGGCAGAGCCAGGACTAGACCTCTGGTACCTTGTTAAGTGTTTGTTCCATCCCATTGCCCAATTAGAAGAGATTGTCGAGTTTTTTCAGTTATAGGACATGCTGTATAAGGAAAATTCTCATGAGAATAGACCCTTGTGTAAGAACATCACAAACAGAGGATGCTAAGGGAGCAGGTAGGGATCTGTTTGGGATAACCAACAGAAGACTGATTGTGTGGACATGTTAGTATAGTCCCTGGGGAATAAAACAAACATGACTCTGAATCCTATATTTAGATGGAAACTAAGATTTTGATTAAACATAACTTTAGGACTTGTTCACAAGTCATAAATCTGTTTTCTTCTTTATGATTCAGTTTATATTTTTAATTATAAAATATTTCCAACATAAGATAATAGTATAAAAAAATCCATGTATCCATTTCTCAGATTTGACAAATGCTAATATTATCTGCTGGTGGCACAATGGTTTAGTGCCTGGCTGCTAACCAAAAGGTTGGCAGTTCGAATCCACCAGCTGTTCTGTGGGAGAAAAGGCCTGGTGTTCTGCTCCCATAAAGATTACAGCCTAGGAAACCCTACAGGGCAGTTCTACTCTGTCATATAGGGTCAGTGAGTTGACACTGACTCGACAGCATACAACAACAACACTATAATCTCATATTTACTTCAGATCCATCCCTCTCCCTTTTTTATTTTTAAGAAATAAAACATGACTTTGCTTTCTAAGGGTACAATGAATAATAATAAGGGGAAATAGGTAACAAGGATTATAACCATGGGTATTGGAGTAGAAAACAATTCATTCTTTTCTAACCTTTGTTAAATGAAAAGAACATAGTATATTAATATTCTCAAGGACAGGCCACTAAAACTGTAAAACATTATAATCTGACTTTATACTTAAGACTTTAGGTCCTATATGTAAGATCAGTTGATATTTAAGAAATAAAATTAATGAGAATAATACTTATGTTTTAAAAGGACAATACACTTTCATATGTATGCATTAATTTCACAGCTCTGTGAGGTAGGCAAGACAAGAGTGAAAGCTGAGGTTTACAGAGGTAGTGATAGGTTCAAGGTCACCAGTACTCTATTATTCCTCTAAACTACAATAATATCTGATTGTGATAGATGCTTTGTTACACATTGTACACCTTCTGCTGGGTGCACAAGTGTGCTATATCTCTCTCACCATCTTCCTAGCTGCTAATGGGCATAATAGCTACTAATGGATATCAAGTAAAGTACGTGCCTTATGGGGAGATGATTGCCCTCTGAAGAAACCCAGAACTCTGTTAA